TTTAGGTTCCTTTGGTGTGGTTGTTGTGGTTGGTGGGTGGTGAGGTGGGTGTGTGGTGCCTGTGTGACTAGGTCTGTGGGCTGTTAGGGTGAGTAGGGTGTGAGCGGGCAGGTGCGTACGTAGCTCGCTGGATGTGTGCTGTGTGTTTACTGACACGGCGCCCCCCGAGATCTACACAGAGTGGATCGTCGTCAGCTTCAGAGGTGTATAAGAGACAGCCCCACCTCTTCCTCTATGGTGTACAGAGCAACATACAAGGGCTATTCGCCCGCACTTTGTCTACGCTAGTTCATTTCAACTGTCATGTTCGATTCACTTACCCTTCTTCGATACCAGGCACCCAGGTGAAGCGACCGAGGCTACATGAGCTGGCTGATCTCGAGAACTATAGACTTGAGCACGCAGCATGAGCAAGCAGGCCCACTGTCAGTTAGTTCATATGTTCGCTCTTCGAGCCCTGAATACAGCGCATATTCGGGCTCTGTCAGGCGCCGGCAAGTAAGGTTAACTGGACCATAAGCGCGAGGGTCATAATTGCAGCCCAACTACTTCCTCATTTGACAAAGCTCGTAAAATTGCTAACGGCAAACCTGCAGCACAAGCGCCGGATGGGGCATGACAGTAGAGGAGCGACGTCAAACGCCTTGGCAACTGAGTCCTGGACGAGAAAAAGACCATAGTGGCGGGTCGTTGGGCGCGTCGGTCCCGTGACCACCTGCGTTGTAGCCTGGCACTTGGCGCACTTGGCCCAACCAGAGGGGAAAGGACGGGTGGCTGAAAATAAACATCAACCGGTTCTCGGAAACGCGAAAACGCGTATTTATGAAGCCGTTTCGACAAGCCCTATCCTGGTTGCGCGTGCAGGCAAACGGCGCTTAGAACGCCGCACTGCTCTTTTTCTGGGGTCTGGTTTTCCGGCCCACATACTGTAGAGCAGGACTTTTACCGGGGCGAAACACTTCCCACGTGTCTGCCTCAAAAGTCGGGCCATATTCTTCATCTTGCCTCTAGCCTGCGACGGTATAATGCCCACATGTCTTTACTGAATCATCCAAATCGAAGCGTCAACGACCTGAACTCCAAAACGCCAATTGATAAAGTTGTCGCCCAGTGCCACGTATTTTTGGACTCTGACACAATCCTGCATGACTTCCTGGAATGACTTGCGTTGATGGTATTTAGGGGACCTGTTCCTTTGCAACGAAGACAGCACTTGTCGAACTCGGTGAATACGCATTGGCGCATGCCGTCGGTGTTGACGACGCGAGATAAAACCCATAAATCGACGCCGCGACCTTGTGACGTATACCTATCAGACCTTACTAAACCCTACGCTGCCATACAACCCTCAAAGCCTGGCGCTTGGGCCGGCGTGCCATGCCTTCTCCCGCATCAAATGAGCCATGAATCCTTGTATACGATGACGCAACAGGAGATGGTATTCACTCTCGTGTGGATTTGCGTTGGGGGGAGGCGGGAAAGGGTTATGCCTGCGTCGAGGCAGTGCTACTCCGATATTTGAATCCATCTATCAGAAAATTGGCCCGATACCAAACCTCGGCGGGCGTCACCCCTTGTCAAGCCCGAACCAAATGCGGACGTCGACGATCTCCCGAGTCAAGTAAAACACAATCGGGTATGGAAAGAAGGTGGCTGCTGCCGAAAGCAAAAGACCAAATGCGATGGACAGATCCCATGCGCGAGATGTACTGAGAAGCGGTACGAATGTGTCGATGTGCCGAGGACGAAAAATGCCACAAAGATCGAGCAGACGGCCATGGAATCTACCGCTACAGGATGGGAGAAGGAAGTAACGGGGTGGTCGACTTCGCAGCTACACCTCCCAAACGTGAAAGTGGACGAACACCATAACCCGTCCCCTGGCGAGAGGCAACCCCAGACCCTTTACCATGTCACTCTCAACCTTCCGGACGGTACGCAGGTCAAACTTCGGCGCGTCGGGTCCCCGGCGTCTGCTCTCGAAGCGCCGCAACCGGGAACTAAAGAGAATTGCACGCGCTCCCCTCGCCGACGGCCACTTCGCCGGACCTCTTCTCCTTCTGTGCAGACGGACTAAGGAAAGAACCAGGGCTAGAAACAACAAAGGACATTCCGTGGGACATGTTCACAGAAGCACAAAGATGGACGACTGATATGCGGCCGCCTATGGCTGTCAACTACGAACTTGTGGGGATGGGGACTTGGTCTGGAAGCGATGAAAGTTCCATAGTTGACCCTATCGACCTCGCACTTTCCATGGTGATGCAATCCGAACGAGGATGGCTAAACTAAGATTGGGGAAAAGGGCGAGGACGGAGACGACGACGTGGTATTTCCGCCCTTTGTCCTCCATGGGCGGAATAGTTTTTTAATGATTTTACAGTCACGATTACTTTTTCGCTCCCTTGGGAATGTTGTGCCACGTGCGAGAGCTCCTTGCAGCAGTAATAGTAGCACACCCGTCTATGATTGGACAACGACAACGCGTGGTGCGCATAATCAGGCTGGCAGTGACTCATTCGGCGCGTCGTGCCCAATAGTGCGAATTCCGACGGATGGCTTACTCCGTATGCCAAGCCAAGCCAAGCCCCAAAGAGTTTCGGGGAATGCTGCAAACCTGCTCTGCCGTGCCTTAACATGTCACGCGAGTGGGTCCTTTTCTCTTAGCATTGGTCTCTGATTCACCAGTTTTACTCGGGGCTACGTCATGCTCGGTAAGATCCTGGTCGATCAAGCCCTAGTACAACCCTTCGGGCTTATCTGGCCCTCCCTTGATGAGAGTGCACCCATTCCGATCCCTTCCATGACCCCCAACGCTTTCAACAAAGTACTGAAGCGTGCCACTTGTGCGATTTCTACACTCGTTTTTTTTTGGTTCATTGCTCCTGCGACAAGAGGCCCAGCGCCAGTCTCGCCTTTCCAGGCCGTGGTGTGACCTTGAATCACCATCGACCGATTCGCAACAATCCGTTCTATTCCATTCTATTTTCTCCGCGTTCAGTCAACCATAGCCCGGGATGAACCAGCAATTCAAAATGCCGATAGGCCAGCGGTTCAGAAGGAGCCAACAATTGTGTCGTCTACCATGTACGAACTTGGTCCGCTCAAGAAGGAGCTCCAAAAGGCGCGCGAGACGATTCAGGGCCTCCAGCAAAGCCTCGAAAAAATGACCGAAAAGAGCTCATTCGACGCCTGGCAACCAGGAGAGCTCAATAAGACCATCCAGGGCCTGGAAGCAAGCGCGTGGTCACAACATCAAGAGGTCAGGATGGCGCGAAACGGGCACGCGGCCGCCATGCGGGAAAACGCGGGAATACTGTCTGAGTTTCGCGGCATGAGAGAGCACATGAAGGCTAAGCTGAAAGAGGCCGACATGGACGCAAGCGCCATGGGGATACGCAAGTAAGGCCTCCAGAGAACTCTTCACGAGGCTTAGGGGAGGCTGAAAATCCTCGAGATCTAGGCGTCCGCCCACATCCGCGCTCGCGACGAGGTCCAAAAGGACCTAGACTTGGCCACACAGGGACTAGAGAAAACCAAGAAGAAAAGAATAGCGCCGGTCAGAACCAAGGTCAAGGTCACGGCGGAAGAACGAGGCGGCTATGGCCGTCGTGGACAAGGGCCTGAAGGACGAGATCTCGCGCCTCATACGCTTGCTCAAAGAGAGGGACAACGATATACAGGAGCAGGAGACTACGATGGAAGAACTGCGGGCAGCCATCAAGATCAGCGTGGATGAGCAGGAAAGCATCCAACGTGAGGAAGATGAAGAGGGATAGGACAGTCAGACTGTCGTTGCGGTCGAGGAGGTGCGCCTCCCCATCGACGAGGTGGCCACCGAGGTCAAGGAACACCCCAAAATCGACGAGTGGTATGTGGAGGAGAGCACGCCGGCCGACGAGCTGGCGAGGCTGGGGCAGGAGCTACAAGACGCGCAGGATGAGGTGCGCCAACTGAACAAGACGGTCGAGTGCCTGGAAGGGGTCATCAAGGAGCAGAAGACCGAGATCCGGCGACGGCGCCAGAACGAGACAATGCTGCAGGCTGAGGCGGATCGGCAAGGGGCCATGGCGGACGAGAGCTAAAGGCAGCTGCGGAAGCAGCGGGACCGGGTGGTCGAGCTCGAGCGGCTCCAGAGGCGTGCCAACCTCAAGCTGATCGGGAGAAGCCTCGTCGTGATAGAGGCACTGGTCCGCGACGGAACCCTGCTTGTGCAGCACGTGCTCGAGACCGTGGCCGGCAGGTTGGATGCCATCGACAGCGCGCCGTCGGCGAACCGCCCCTTCGACGAGATCGACGGCTACCTCGAGAACGTCACCGGCCACCTGAAGGGCTGCATACAGCAGGCCATGCTCGACGCCGCTGCCCTCAACGGCGTGGTGCGCAACATGCGGCTCCTGCTGCCGGGCCTGGCCGACAAGAATGACCTGAACAACGTGTCGAGACTCTACGGCGAGGTCCAGATGTTCAAGACGGCCGTGGAGGGGCTGCTGGCCCCCATCAAGGAGGAGCTGGTCGGCGCGGGCGGCGGCGGGGCCGTGCAAAAGAACACGAGAAGAAAGGACCCCCCCAGGACCGACCCCTCTGGATGGGTTTCCAGCCGGATCAGCTCGTCTTTCCCTCCTCCCTCAAATCAGAGAGAAAGAAGATGACGTCGGCTATGAATATGGTGAGCCAGCTGATCGTGGCCATGGCCGGCTTCTGGTTCGTCGACCGCCTGTGCATCTAGTTCAAGCTCAGCGACACGTTGACCAACCTTCAGCGGGCGTGCATCTGCATAGCCCCATATGCACGGCTGGCGGAGTCGTGACTCTCTCTTTCTTCTCCGGACCTTCGGTCCATCGACGAGGCTATTGGGCGAACGTCTGTGCTCCGGAACAGTTGGCCCTGGAGTGTGGCGGTGCGTGGATGACTGAGACATGGACGAGGCAACAGCTCCTCCCAGCTATATAGCCGGATCTTCCTTTTCCGGCGTGTTATTGGATGGCTGGTCCAAGCGGCTCTGCTCCCAGTATCGACTTCTGCGGCTCTTTCGTATCTCGGTCCCTAGGTCCTGTTCGAGATGGCGGAAGTATGAGGCTGTTTACCTTACGCGCCCGGCGCACAACACCTGGTACTCCACCTGGCTTTCCTCGTAGGTGAAAAGCCCAGGCGAGCGAGGTGGTGTGCTCGGACACAGAGATATATCTTTGAGCCTCTCACGCCTTGCGGTCTATTGATTTCTGCTACCGATCGATGCGACTCTGCGAAAATGTCAAGAGAGGAGCTACATCCAGATATAGACCGACCGGGAAATGCGAAGCCCCCGTGTCTGGAATCAATTGCCAGTCCTCTTTGAACATTCTCATACCGTGTACTGCCCAGTCGCTACGCTCTACTGATACCACTCCTCGGGAAATCGTCACTTTCGCATCCGTCTGTCAGCAAGCACCGGAATCCTGCAGCCCCTCCTTGGCAGGCGAGCTCGCCGAGGACACGCCCACCAGCACCACGAGCAAGTTGTCGACGACGGGCAGCAAACGCAGCTGGAGAAAGACGCCTCAGCCGCAGAATCGGAGCGCGACGGCAAGCGACGCAAGAAGAGGGCGGCGGCGGACGCGACGACGACGACTGGGCAGGTCATGTCCAGTCCGAGGTGTGGATCGAGGAGCTCGTGGCGTCCCTCGACAAGCAGGAAGCGTCGCTGACGGAGCAGATAGGCAAGATGTATGCCCAGCTGGAGACAGTCCGCCAGCAACGAAACAGCCTCCATCTCGTGCAGGCGGCCGCGCAGGAGTTCGGCGTCATCGGTGCCGTCCGCTCATAGGAAGAAGAAAGCGCACATTCATTTCCTCACAAGCTATTTTCGCCATGTTTCGGATGACGACATCAATAGTATAGTATTGACTTTATGCAACGTGTGCAGCAAAACGAGCAAGCCAGCGCGATGCATCCAACGACGACCAAGGGGCAAGAAATCAGATCAAAGGGAGCCAGATCAACCAATGTTTCTCCTCTTCTACTACTACGGCAGTTTTATTTTTGAGCCATGCGTTGACAAGGAGCAGAGCCAGGACGACATGGAGTGGGGGTACGTCTACGTTGTCCGTGATCTCGGAAAGCAAAGAGGTCATCCGTGCCAGGGCGTATGACAGGTGGCCAATTGCCAATGGAGGGTGCTGGGCGCTGCAACATGGTGGCAACGCGGGAGGAAGCCAAAGATAAGGCAGAATGTGGAAATTGAAGAATTCCATAGACGCCGAACACAAGGGGTAAAGAAGATCCTCCGGCGTCAACCATCGTCTATACTAGAACAGCCCCATCTCTCTGTTTCCATCTATTTTGACATGCTGCTACACAGCACGCCATTTTGTGGCCCGGGAGGCTCGAAATCTCCTTTGGCCTTGGGCCGTTGGTGCCGCCACCGCCCAACACGGTCTTGCCCTCCACGCGGGCCCCGAGACGTGGCGGCCAAGTAACTTCCACAACTAGCCGTCCACCCGCGTCACCGACCAACCGCTGGTGACCACCTCTGCCGCCACACGAAGCCAGAGCAAAAGACACACGAAAGAGAGAGCCTTTCGCCCTCCCCACCAGCCAACCGGAACCCATGGTTACCTCCACCGCCCCAGCGACGCCGAAGCGAAAGACAGACTGTCGCCGCCACCACCGGCCCCAAGACAACGAAGCGAAAGATAGAGCTACCTGCGGACCTCACCAACCACCTTATCGTCCAACATGAGGCCAAGCCACCCTCCCCCAAGACGCCTCAGACGGCCCAGAGGCGAAAGAGAGTCAAAATCGACGAGCGGTCCGTCGGCAATTCGTCATCCCCAAGACGTCGAAGCGGAAGATGGGCAACAAAAGCCGAAAGCAGCCCGCCCACCCTAGGGTCCCACCCCCCACCGTCTATCATTCGCTGCCCGGGCCCAGCACAACAACCGAGGACAGTCGCGTACTAGTGTCCCGCGCGGAATGGATGAACGCCAGCAGCGACGTTGGAGGCGGCAACGGCAAAAGCGGCGGTGGGCCGATGACCGGCAGCATCCCCGCCAACTGCCACCCAGTCGCTCGGTGAGAGCGCAGCGAGTATTCCATACGCCATGGTCAATTTCCCATCAAACCTGATGGACGGGTAGCGCCACCTGCAGTTCGCCGGCGACGGCGTCAACCCTTTGCGTCTAGTGTGGGGGGGGGGGGGGGGACGTGGGGTATGTGGTTTGCGTACGATGGGAAAAGTGGCAACGAAACAAAATGTCTGGAATGACTCATTTGGCTGGGAACAAACACGACTCTTGTGTAGACGTGGAATGTGGAGAGAATGTTCGAGGGGTTGGGCGACTACAGGAATGCCACACATCTGGCCTGATTATATACATTGACTGCTGCCTGCTGTCATCTCGCACCTTGTACTGACTGTTTCCGACGTTTTTCCGACATTCTCCGACATTCTCCAGTTTCTTCTACCAGCGAGACCATGCATCGGAATAGGAATCGACCAAGTGTGATCGTGGCGACGACACGCCGAGGAGATGCGATGTGCGTGCCCGGGCCTCAAGATTGATGACTGCGCATAGACGGAGAGTAGAGCGCAACGGGTGACGGGGGGCGGTCGGTGTTCACTTCGAGGCCGCGGACGGAGACTGGGGTTGAGCGTGTCAGACTTATGAGCTGAGTTGAAGGATGACCCAGATCACGAATGGGAACATGGAGGCCGGGACATCGAAAAAAAGGTGGAAAGCAGGTCATATAGTTGTACAAGAATTCAATGATTGCATAGAACGGGGACTAGAGACACTTTGTAAAGAAGAGATGGCAGATCCTCGAAAAAGCTCGAAGAAAGCGTGGTGGCAAGCAAAGTCTGATGACGGATGGTATCGGCGACGAGGGGGGATAGGGGCTTCCACTGGGTCCTGAGATGGAACGCGAGATGGAGACACGAAGATTCGTAAGTTGCTGTTGTACAGAAGAGATGGAAAGGGATAAAGACGCTCTACAGTATTTATTTATACCCATCCCGCAAGGCTGTGCCACAGCCTTTCCAGTGAAGTGCGCGGGGCGTACATAAGGCAGCTTGGCACGCATGAGCCGGGCAACATACACTGTAACCCGTCCTATCACAAACAGAGCGAGGAGCACGCTACTCAGAGGGGGGAAGTACCCCCCCTACGCGGCCTTCAGGAAAAGAGGTTAAATAGCTCGGAACTAACCCAAGCCGGATAGGCCTAAACTACTTTAGGCCGTATACTCACCGGAAGAGAAAAGTATGCTTCTCGCACCCGAGAAGTATTCTTTTCTCATGCTTCGAGTCTTGTCACTACTCTACGTAAAGGGATACTTATTACCACGGAATCTATCTATCGCTGAGTACTGCCTATCTCTAATAAGGCATTCCTGATACGTCCCCTGCGTATAGTGGCGCGGCGATTCGGCTCAGCTCAGGCCGCTGACTAGGCTGCAAACATCAATCACACACGATTATCTTGCAAACGGCTTGTTTCCTAATGTCTGCGTAACGCATTTATGCCCCTTTCCTCGGGGTGTGGTTTCATCTATACGAGTAGTTCAGCTTCTACCTGTCAGGTTTACCGAGGGCTAGAACTTCGAGTAGCATTGTTAGGAACGGCCTATATAGATAGGCAGAGGGTAGCGATAGGTTATAGGTAGGTATAGTGTAATGGGGGAGAAAGGCAAGCCGGAACGTGATTGGTGGAATTGGCCTATACAATGCATAGGTAGGCACTCTTGATCATTGGTTGGTGGGGACACGGGCATTAGGTCTAAGTTTTCCTTTTCTTTTTCCTTAAGAAGGACACACACCGTGAGACACGGTAGAGAGCAATTAAGTTATCTATCTAGTTATAGAACCTATCTAATCAGGACCTTCTATGTTGTTGTTATTGTTATTGAGCGATAGTCGTTACCCCTACCACTATACCCACCGCCGTACGAGTTGATACCTCTGGCTAAGAGCCTCGCCCCAGTTCAATAGGTATTCCTTGAGAGTGTATCTTAACTAAGACTCAAAGCATGAGAGAAGGAAAAGGAAGCTTCCCTCAGGCGGTGAGCATGCGGTGCTTGAATAAAGGGGTTGTCACGTGCGTGGTGTGCTTGGCGGTTCGTGACAAGCATGCTCGTACATACGAGCAGCAGATGGACCCCGCGGAGATCCCTCGGACTCCCTCGGAGACGACAACGGAGATGCCTCGGAGATGACGCGGTGACCGAGGTACACTGCCGTACGTGCCTCTTTCCACTGTAATGATTGGCTAGTTTCAAACTGTGGATTACCTAAGGGTTCAAAAAGTTGCCTAACTACGTCAGTGTGTACGCCTTTAGGACTAGCTCCAACTATAAAAGTGTGCACCTAGGTGCGTACTTTCCAGGCCCTCGGCACACGTAATGGTGCTTGCTTGTAGGTACGAGTAGCCCTCAGAGCGGAAATGCTGACACGTGAAAATGCCCACGTGTGCACGCTAGTACGTTTACGTCTCACGGCGTAAATATCCATCCATCTCCCATACGTAGTGCAAGTAACAGCTGGAAAATCGAGGCTTTCGTGTCTGCCTCGTCGCACTTTATGGGGATATTGCGGCACGACCAGCATAGTACGAGGAAGAAAATCACGACTGCGATCGGTACGTACTGTCACAAACATGGACGAGAACGAAATGGGAGACGGTAATTCTGGCCACTATACGAGTAGCAAGGTACGAGGAGAATGGAATCGTGGCTGCGGTCGGGGTATGCGACTCACTAGGCGACCAGAGACCTGGCTGAAACCCACTAGGAGAGCGAAAGCCAGGCCTAGAATACAAGGAGGAGGGTACGAGGAGGAGATGGATGCCTTTCCAGGAGACCGCCATGGCGGCCTGGAACGCTCTAGAGGCCGCCAACATGACCTGAAGACCGTAATTCTGACCACCCTACGAGCAGTAAGGAGGTGTGTGACTCACCAGGAGATTACCAAGGCGGTCTAGACCACAAGAGACCGACAATGTGGCGCAGCACACGGGACGGAGTTTGCCTTCCAAAGGGGCTCCAAATTGACCTGTTTGAATCTACGAGCACCTACGAGCACCTACAAGTAGTATAGTATGAGCAGCTACTAGTAGGGTACGAGGAGCATCGAATTCCATCGGATCCCATCGCATTCCATCGGATCCCATCGCATTCCATCAGATCCCTTCGAATTCCATCGGATGCGTTCGAATTCCATCGAATCTCATCGAATCCCATTGAATTCCATCGAACTCCATCAGATCCCATCAAATTCCATCGGCATCAGACCCCATTAGATCCCATCAGACCCCATCAGATCCCATCAGATCCCATCAGACCCCATCAAACCCCATCAAATCCCATTGAATTCCATCGGATCCCATCATATACCATCAGATCCTATCAGATCCCATCGGATCGTATATAAGCGTAAAAAACCGCAGCGACGACGTGTACAAAATCGCAGCGGTACAGCCAGTCTACCACCCTACGAGAGAATTTTGCACCCTGATACTCGATACCGATGAACAGTAGGGTGTCCGGACTTGAGGATCACAGCAACAGAGCCACCCTACTAGTAGCACCATACGAGGAGCCTTCCACACTGGGGGAAGAGGGTACGAGCAGCAGGAGAGACGAAATGCTGCTGCCTAGAGTGCGTTTCGAGCATCCATGCTCCGCCATAGAACCCTCCAATCACATATCAATTAATGCTGCTGCCTGCGTTGCGTTTCATTTCCTTTGTGCTCCGCACTAACTCGTGCGGCTCTCCTGCGCTACACCGACACGCTCGGTCTACTTACCCCTAATGTCGAAATACCGCCGCCTAGAATGCATCTCGAGCTATCAATGCTCCGCCACACAACCCTCCAATCACCCATCAATTAATGCTGTTGCCTGCGTTGCGTGCCACTCCCTTTCCGCTCCGCACTAACTCGTTCTACTTTCCTCCGCTACACTGATGACTCCTATGCCCTGTCTCCGGGTTTAGAAGCCCCTGCTAGATTGGTTAGGCACTGCCCATTCAAGAAATTGTCAATTAGGGGCTGCCGTATGCTGACCATGCCTGCTGTCCACGGTCTCTAGATATATGACTTCAACGCTTGCTGGAGCAGTTCGCTGGCCAGAGGATGTCTTCGAGCTGCCTCGAGCGCTCAGCGCGCCCTGGTCGCGAGTCCAACAGGAGACTTACCTCTTCGCTCGCCATCCGAGTCGCAGAGAAACAAAAGCACAAGACATTGTATTACAGTATGTTGACCTTGCGGGACTGGGCAGAAAGTTTAGCGGAGATCAGTCAGGAGCTGTTCCAGAGGACTCATGCGACCAACACGTCAATTGATCCAGAAGCTGGCAAACGCACTTGGAAGAAGAGGTTCAGTCCGGCACGTGGATGTCTAGTGGGAAGAAAGGTTCGACGCTGTGATCAAGCCGAACGGGCAGCAGCGGACCAGGTTCGCGGACAGAAGAACGCCGAGAACAGCGTCTTGAAGGCACAGGTTGCGGAGGCGCAGCATCGACCATCCAACGCTGGCATTTCCCGTCATCAATCTAAGGGTTATTCCCTTCCCATTCTCCCAGAATCAGGCTGCCGTGGTGGCACAAAGATATTGAAATGAGAGTTTTGTCATATCCCTATCGCCGTCGGCATGTACTCTATATGTGCCTCTGAGACTTTCTGGCCGCCGACCTCGAGTTGTTCCCAAAGTTGAAAGTGTGAGTTTCTTTCTCCCCAGGTCTACTATACGAGGGTATTCCCATCAATCCTGTCGGACGAAGACGTTCCTCACGATGGAGCCTCTGATTACCTATCCTGGCTCTTCAACACGAGTAGGTATAAGTGAGAAGACAAGCCACATCATGTTCGTATGAACGACTGGTAAGGCCGGACAGGGACAAAGTCATTGGCAATGACAGTGACTGAGCGAAGAATGAGATACAACGCTCCTCTTCACTCTGTGTGGGAAAAATCCTGTCTTGAACGAGTCATCTTCCTGAGAGACAAAAAATGTCGGACCACGAAGTCTATGTGTATAGTGGTCAGCTTGTCGAGAGCAAGGGCGAAAGCACAGCCCACCACTCCGGTGTGCACGGCGACGGTCGTATTCATGTCGTCGGCATGACTGGCACCATGTCTGCAGATGGATCCATCGTTCAGTTGTGGTTGATCAACGCGAGTCCCTCTGTTGATTCTAGGGAGGTCGGACGACGGGATGTTGGGGAGGCCGCTGGAAGAAACATACATCTTTTGGCCACTTCGTCGAAGACGTCTGCCGCGCGTGGCTCGTCAACGCCCCCGAGCAAAGCGCTGTCGCCGATATTCAAGAAATGCAGCACTTTGTCATCGCCCCAGGCTTCCTCAGCTACGCTGGTGTCGTGATTGTGGCGCCCTGGCCGTTCGCATTGACATGAGGAACACGAGGTATCATGCGTTCTGGCCCATGTGAGCAAATCCCTCCGTGTTCCGGCACTGTGACCTCCAAGCGCGACAAACTCGGTGTCTTCCGTATCACGGACGAACAAACCCAGCAGGCCAAGCAACTTGTCAAACTCTGTGACGGGGCAGAAGCATCTCCCGTCTTCAAGCGCACCGTTGAATCCGCCGACTCCATCTACTCCCTTGAGTACCGTGATACTCAGACCAATCACGTCGGGCGCCGCGCCGCTTGTTTCACCAGGGACCAGAACGGCAACGTCAGGGGCACCGTCAATGCCTGCAACACCACGTGGACCCCCACGCGCAGCATTCCGGGCGCCAGCAACAACGACGCAGCTTTCGTTCAAGCTCTCACCCTGCGTAGCGACAAACGTACAGGCCTGCGTTCTCACGGTGAACCATGACGGCAGACCCGTCGATGTTGTTGTCCCCTGACCCGTATAAACGTTCACTGGGACATGCTCGTTTTGACTTGGCCCCCAACCAGGACAAATCTCAGGTCAAGGGTGTATCTACCTTGGGGGCGCCTTCGGAGGAACGGCCAGGGATCCTCGGTAGGTACACAGGAGGGGCGAGGGGCTTTCTCCCGCTTCGATCGTTCTTTGTCGTTTTTGTTTTTTCCCCAACTACTGGTTGGATACAGATTACGTCCACTCCTTCAATAGTATCTTGTTTCTTGTTGTCGCAGAGAATTCAACTGGACGTTCTGCCAAATATTCTTCTTGATGCCTCTTCTTTGACGTGCTCCGAGTCAGCAACACCCCCTTGAGCACGGCGACCAGTTGGCCCGCCGCTTCTTCAATCTTGATGCCAGCACCGGCTTGACTTGCAAAGGGTTCTGGCGACCCTCACAGACGTCCGGCCTCCTGTCCAAACCCGTTCGTGGCGCATGGTCGCCGTCCTTGCGTGTGGCGTATTCTGTCTGCGTGCCAACCCCGTCGATCACCGCCCCCCTTGTTTCTCCGAGTTTTCCCACCGCTCTCCCGTGCTAAGGACGACACGATCTCTTGATCCGTCCGACTCCTTAGCGACCGCTCCTTTGGAAGGGCAGCTCGGCGGCACTGCAAGGTACACGTCGTCTGACACGCAGCCTCGGCCACTCAACCGCACTCCGCCGCACCGTCCATCCGGAGCCACAATCGACCGCAGTCACTTCCGCTACTACTCCCTCATACCCCTTATAACCCATATTCCGTCTCTATCTGCCTAGCCAACTCCACACGGCCACCGATACCGACCGCCGCGTTATTCCGACGACCTCCTTCTAGAGCCACACACACCCTCAACGCCTCGTCATAAGCCAGACGATCAGTCAACGTGCTCGGCTCAAATCTGACGACGACGACGACATCCCGGCCTAGCTACTCTACTATGTCATGGCGGCGCTCCGGATACGCCCCACGACGGTATTTGCGAAGCATCCAGTCCGAAGACAGTCGCCTGCGAGCCCTGCCCTTCCACAGCCGACGCTTTTGTGCGAGCAAGGTGTTGAGCTGCGCAGCGATGAGCACGAAATCTGTGCAGGGATCGGGATGAGCCCGGCTCATCCTGGCAGATGCAAGCAGCCGAAGGCCCCCAGATGCTCGTATGCGGGAAGCCCAAAGCTAGACGATTCTTGGAGATTGCTCTTTACCAGTGGTACGTGGGGAGCGTATCCGTAGTAGGCGCCCAAACCGAGCGCCAGGCATTTATTCCGTCCGACTGGGGGCGTGTCCGGGTCCCATGGCTACAGGTAGGGAGGGACTTCGGCTTGCCTAAGTCCTGGAATTCTTATATGGCGCATGGGTAGCCTGTTCACCGCCGCACGATGCCATCACATCACTCGAGGGAAAGACATCAATGGGTGATCACAGTAGAAGCGCGGGATACGGGCTGGAGGCTGAGGACGATAGTCCCGACAAGCCTTGCGAGCCTTGCTGTCTGGCAAACTTCCCGGATGTCCCTCGTCAGGTCACAGGCACTGCCTCGCCAGGAAGATCTGCAACGGACAGGGTCATGTAAGCCAGGCTGCCTCTTGTGGAACATGGCTGTCGAGGCTCAACCAGGGAAGACATGTCGACTGTCGTACGCGGCACGTGTGAAGCTTTCGTTCGTGATTGATTAGCCTAGCCGTCTTTCTCATTGGCTTGTTCGGCTCGGAACCAGGCGAGGTGAGGTTGAGATGCTTGGCATTTCTCAAGAGGAAACGGGCGAACCCATAGATGACGGTGACTGGGATGGCCGGGAGGCTTCCAACCAGCGAGCATGGGAGGCGAAACAGGAGTATGGTAATGGACGAATTGAGGATTTGGATAGATGAATGAAATGGAGAAATGAATGGGTCACGACATATCAACTGGGGAAGGTGGGGGGGACATGACGAGAGACCAATTTATCGTTGCGCCATGTGCTCATGATAGCGTCGCGACGAACGCTTTTCCATCTGTCCCCACGCGATGCTCCAACTTGAATGTATCAATGGGGTGCATTATTTAGTAATATTGAAGACGGATGGAGGACTACCTGGCTATGGACATGAAGGCCTCCTCGAGTGACTATTTATCATACACAGGATACACCTCCATACTGTTCGCGGTTGTCACGTGCTTAGTATACCGCAAGCGGTACATACGACCGCATGCGGCATATCACGTGTCAGTACTCTTTCTTTATTCAACACTCCACCGCCCCACTTTACCGCCAGAATGAGCGTTGTACGTCGTACGCGCTGCCCTAGCCCCTATGCGGAAGGTTGGCCGAATAATTTACCCGACGGGACACAACAAAGTTTCAGGCGCGCCAGAAAGATTTCCTTCTCCTAATCAAGTTATTCAAACCCACAGTACGTACATCCGTTGGGGGCCGCAACGAATGCTTTGATCGCGCAGCCAACCGCAACGCTCGCGTCAGCAAAGGCAACGACGCTCAGGCCTGGCGAGGCAGCCCTCTGCCTGACCGAAACCGAAAGGGGCCATGCCAGCACAGGCTCTTTACGTCGACTCACCCCGACGGGTTGTCTTCGGCCAATCGACAAGGCGACCGAAGCAGAAGTGCACCGTCGACCGCACCTAACGGCAGGAGCACTACAGCAGGCACAATGCCCGAATCCTCGTGATGTCCTTGATCCGCGCCTTGGCCCCCCCTCTGGGCACCACTAGGTCTCTCCCTCTGCTGCCTCGCCGCTGCGGTGCCGCACCGCTTCGAACCCTCCCTACCGCACACCCAATCGCACACACTCACACCGCACATTCCTGGTCTCTGTGCTCTGCGGCCGATCGTCACGTCTTGAAAGCAGGCGCTTAGAGTGTCGAGACAACCCATCATATACCGCATACCCAGAGACGGCGCGGTACCGTCGTGTGGCCTTGTGCGCCCTTCCTTGCCCCAAAGGTTCCCATGGAGAGCGGCACGACTAACTTCCTCTACGGAGCTGGCGACGAAGGCGCATATTTTATCCTTCTCAGCGGCTATACACAATCACAATGGTCGTCCCCGCAGGCAGGAGGAATTGCCGCCGCCGCATGGCTTGCGGACACGCCGCCCACTTCGGCGTCCCCAGACGACATACCACTCTACGCCGAGGGCAACTGGAACACGGGTGGTAGCTGGGACACCACCATGGACGCTCGGAGCTCATAGGAACCTACCACCCTCGCTTGAAGCACCCTCAAGCCTTGACTCGGGCTTGGACGGGTCACCCTTGCTACCCGGAGGTAGGTCGTTCCCGCAAGTGGTCTTTTCTGGCCAGCCATTCACTTGATGCGCGCAGACAACACTCTTCTCATGTATAATCACATACGCAGTGTAGTCACCCACTACCTACATTCTAGGGCAATTCCCGCTATGCTCTCCGCCGGGATGACACTGGCCGCGAATGGCCTCCTCCAACTTCCGAACACGCCCTGCGGCGTCTGTGGGCAGGGAGCAATGGTTTTCGTGGAACGGAGGAAAAGCCCATTGTCTTCGGTGCACGTCGAGTTTTGTGAACCCCTCTGGCCCTGCTGTTGGCGCCTCGACGGTCTCGCCGCTGAAGCCTTTCTACGACGAGCATTTCCGTGGGAAGGCTATCCCGATAGCCTTCCAAGGAGGACCTCTCTCTCTTCCGGAGTGCATCATCCAAAGCCCCTCAGCCGTTCCCTTCGTGTGGCCGATCACGGTCCCCATCCTCAACCTAGGAGTGTCCCCAGATCCGCGATTGTCCATCCCACCGGCACCCAGCACCATTGGCTCTGAGACCACCAGGTAGGAGCCCCGTGCCGGAAGCACGCACTGATCCTCTGCTCGGTGTGAGGAGTCTGGGTGCTCAGAAACTCATGCATAGTTTCAAGTACACAATACCTGATGGTTGAGCGATGGCATCGCCCTCCTCCAACAGGAACAATGGGAAGGATGGAAAGAACCAAGAACCGGCGATGTGAAAGACCACCAAGGTAAGCGCCCACGTATCATCGCGGCGTGATTCTCATGTCTCTCCCGCAAGCAGGTCTTTCAAGGCCACGTCTGGTAGAGAGTTATGTCTTGCCCCATTTTCACTCCATCGAACGACTGTCTGAGCGTAAGAGGGAAGTTTTCATTGCATTCAGCTATGGCATTCTTTTTGAGTTTTCTGATTCTGCCCGCCTTGAAGCTGAAGAAGGAAAGCGGCCTGGCTTCTTTGATGCATGCTACCTAGCAAAACTGAACGCACTCTCTCTGTTATATCTCGCAAGTCCCGTGCCCGGGCTACCTTGTGTTGAACTGCCGCGCATTGTTGTTTCTCAGTCTTCCCACGCTTACCTGCCTCCCCGGCCTACGGGCCAGCCTTTCATCAAGATGCCTTCCTCGCTGCTATCCCAATTGCTGCAATCCTACGGATCCTAGTGCCAAGTGCTCGCCCACGATCCTGCAAGCCCTCCCTCATGCACTCGATAGGGGCGATAAGGCCAGTGCTCTACAAATGAAACAAGGTGAGATCATCAACCCAGCAGACGCCGCAGCCCTTCACAGGAAGCTAGGTGGGGGAAGCCCCGGCTTCTCAAGGTTAGAACGCCGAGAACGCCGACCTTCAGGGGACCGGCCTTGCGGAACACCAGAGTTCTTTGCCCGGCAGTCTTGACGGTTGCAATTGCTGTGGATCCTGGTTCGCTGACAGATTCGCTGACAGACCAAATTCGCTTACAGACGACGACGACTACGATGCATGTAGCGGTTGCATTTATGCAGAACCAGCGGCAAGCTCCCTCTGTTCTTTGAGTTCTCTACTGATACTCCCAACCGCACGTCCAGTCATGCAATGCCGGGGACCACTCTATTGACATGGTTCATTTTGCCTGACGTCGGAGGGAGTGCCGTGCTCAGCCTGCGATGCGTTGCATCCCCAATCCTTTGGACAGCGTTCAATCATCCTGAGGAAGGTCAAGGCTCACTGCCGTGCCAAACACCTGATATTCGACCGCCATCCGAACCCCCCGGGTTTGGCACGCTCTTGCGTGACAGGTTCCCCTTCCATCCCACTATCCGAAAATCACTCGCGTCAGAACGGCGCCAACATGTTAGTGGATCCCGTTGTCTGTCTTCGGTGTCTTTCAACCCCCTGTCTGCTCGTCGCACCTGTAACGGCCACCAGACACGAGAGTTAGGGACGACCCGGCCGTTTGGTCACCGAAAGAGAACGGCAGGGCGCAAACGGCAGACTCCTTCCCCGCAATAGCAACGCGCTGGGGCAGTGCTGACTGGACGGCATAGAGCAACAGGACGCAGCAGGTATGCTTGGAAAAGAGGCGCCCTAGGCGACCGATGCGAACCATCGCGGCAGCGCCATCTACTTCTGGAGAAGCGCCTGACCTCTGCTGTGCTCATCATCAGGGGGTTGGCATCAACCATGCCTGTTCTATTGGCCCGACGCGTCAGCAGCCAACGAGAGCCCGTGCTTGTTCGCTGATTATCCTGGGATTCCGAGAGTGGAAATAATTTCCCTCACAGCAATCCTTTAGGGGTTTTGTTCTCAGGGCTGTGCACTGCATCCCGGGAGGCAGTCCTCGTCTCACGGGAAGGGCTTGATGCAGCATGCCTGCCTGTGGTGGCCGCAAACCCGTATGCTATTTTCATCAGCTTCACCACACCTATAATGATGTCGAGGGAACAAGGGCGTTGGGGGCCATTCGCTTTTACATAAGTCGCCTTGACTTCCTATCGGTCTGCCGGTCGGCCAGAGTCGTTCCCTTGTGGTCTACCAAAACACACTACGAGGTGTCACTTTCTTCCCAACCGTTAGCATCACCTTGACACAGCACAACCCTCGACACGGCGTATACTTATGATAGCTCTGGTGAAAAAAATTCTTACGAACACCTCCATCTTCAGTCATCCAAAGGCCTCATCAAAAAAAAGGACATGCCTCGGACGTGGATGCAATGTCGCCAGACGAGGCGAAAACGTGTAATCGGAGCCAGTGAAAAAACTTGCGCCGCTTGCACAATGAGTAGTGCACCCCCCACGCCGATAAGCCTACAAGGGATGGCCGGGCGAAGACTGAGGTAGATGAAGCCGTCAGCAACGGCAGTCTGGAGGCCTACTCCTCAGTCACCCGTGGGTGCGATGGTCTGTGTGTCAAGGATTCGGGCCTAGACGGCGACTAGTGAAGCATCCCGAGATGCCGACCCCGACATCTGGGAGAACAGACGTCAATGGGGTCAGGGAAGCTTTGCCACACCCCACACTCGGTATACAGTGCAGGATCTATTCACAGAACCTGTCTACGAGAACACGTACGTTGACAGCAACCAAGTGGTCGTGCTTTTCTGGATGGACGCAAGAGGGAACTGTCACCCCCTGGGCTTTCGTGTGATGTACGAGAGAGCTCAGTGTGGTTTCTCCTTTGCGCTCCATACTTCGAACCAAGCCCGGAATTTGCCCCAAAGATTGTGCCTGGCAACTTCATGCCTTCCGCAACTGGGACGGAATGAGCAGTTTACGAAGCAGACCGGAGGGTTCGGAACAAATGTTGAGCGGCGACCGCCCCTCTAACTACACGGAAATGGCCCTGGGGAGGGCCAACAGATATGGTGGATGTTGGACAGCTGCGTCCGGGATTCCTGCGCAGGAGTCGTTTTCCACTGTTATTGACGGCCATGGACTCTACATCTTTTCAACATCAAAGGTCGAACCCCAACAGACTCATGCATGGATATGTGTACGAACATCAACCCCGGTGACACTTTGCAGACCATTCATGACATTGAACAGGACTGCACCACATGGATAGCAGGGGCGATTGGCCCGGGAAGTGGGATGGTGGGCTGGAGGGGAATCCAATTGGGGACTCAATATGGTGCAGTGATGACGAGCATTCTTTTTTTTTCGGGCGTTCACGAAAGGGTCGAGCATCTACTTTGTCGACAGTGACGAAGAAATCTACATTATTGCATGGTGTATGTTCCGTAGGAGGTGTAAGATATGGAATAGGTCGGGTGGGTACCTGCGTGTATCATCTGTTCAGTAAACCGTTCAGCTCGATTGTTCCCTCTTCTTGCAGACAACCGGGCCGCAGTCATGCGGATGTCCTAGGAGCATCATTTCGCGTGAGACTCTTTTGAGATGTGGTTCTGTTTGCGCCCCCGCGATCAACCACTCTTTTTCTTGCCTTTGCTCCACGTAACCTTTACGGAGCAACGCGTCCCTCACGGTCCCAGCGTAGGGTTCCTGTCATCGACTTGTCACCATTTTGGACACAGTGGGTGGAAGATGAAGTAAGGGGAGAGGGGAGGCATCTAGCAAAAGTGTCTGAGCAATGAAGGAATCCTCTTTGTAACCATAACGAGTGACCACGGCGTATTGCCGTCCGAATTCCAATTCAACCCCCTACGACTCCTACACCCAAGTCCGCGAGACTGAGTCCCTCGGCTGTCAACCACCAAAACCTGAGTTTAGTTATATAAAGAAAAGAAATAATGCCCTTATCACAAATAGAGCGAGGAGTACGCTACTTAGAGGGGGGAAGCACCCTCCTACGCGGCCTTGAGGAAAAGGGGTTAACTAGCTCAGAACTAACCTAAGCCGGATAGGTCTAAACTACTTTAGGCCGTATACTAAACTAGGGCGAGGCTCTTAGCCAGAGGTATCAACTCGTACGGCGGTGGGTATAGTAGTAGGGGTAACGACTATCGCTTAATAACAATAATAATAATATAGAAGGTCCTAATTAGATAGGTTCCATAACTAGATAGATAACTTAATTACTCTCTACTGTATCTTACGGTGTATATCCTTCTTAAGGAAAAAGAAAAGGAAAACTCAGACCTAATGCCCGTATCCCTACTAACTAATGATTAAGAGTGCCTACCTATGCATTATATAGGCTAATTCCACCAATTACGTTCCGGCTTACCTTTCTCCCCCATTACAATACTTACCGGAAGAGAAAAGTATACTTTAAGTCTTATTACTACTATACGTACCGTACGATATTAATAGACTCTCTTAACTCGTAAAGAGTAGATAATAGCTAACTTACGCCCGTAATAGTTAGAAACGACGAAGAATACGAAGTAAAAGCGATCCTAAAAGATAGGATTGTATAAAGAGGAAGAGGTTCCTAGTAGTAATACCTAGTAAAATAGATAAGGTACGCTAAGCTAACCTAGAAACTAGCCGACGTACTATAAGACTCCGCTACGTTAGATATATATAAGACTCTACGAGCTAGTATAGAAGGAGAAGAGGGGGGATTATAATAGGTTAAATCTAGGAGAAGGCTTAGTTCTAACGAACTAGCGCTAAGACCTACGCTAGGACTAACACTACTTCCTAATTAGCTAAATTTACCTATAACGTATATGATAAGCGAGTGAAACACCTTAACCGGACTACCTAGATATTTTATAGCTATATAGTACTATAATATATTCTATTATTTATAACTACTTAGAATCCTCTTTTTTAGATAAAGAGATAATTACTTAATATATTCTAGAGTTATATCTAACGTTATAGTAGATACTATACCGCCGCGTACGCGTTTTAGATCTCGTCCGTTAACTACTATTACCCGACGTTTCCTACTTAATCACTACTATAATGCGACTTTAGGACTCTAGAAGCTATCTTTAATGTAGAGTTATACTCCCTCCTTCGCGGAGTTATTTCTTTTTAGCTAGCTAACGTTAACTTAGTAGTATATTCTCCTATTAAAGGGTATTAATCTTAGACTTTAAAAGTACGAGATAGTGTATAATTCCCGTCGCTTCCTTTATAAACTAGTCGATCGCC